TACTCAATGACAGAAAAGGGCTCCTGAAGGAAAAAGGTTATGAACCACTATTCTAGACAGTTCATACGGAAAGAGCATGTCAGAGATATAATTTGGTTGTAGTCCAGTGAGTGATCTGTAGACCAGTAGCAGCATTTTAAACCAGTTTTCTGCATTCTACTGGTAACCAAGTCAGGGAATTTAGAACGAGTGTATGTTCTTAGAAAGACACATATGAGCTAGGCCTGAATCATCCCTCACACATCCACTCTCACTAACTTTGACTAACTTACTCACTATAAATGCGTTCATACTGTATCTGCCTACAGACAGTGGACCACTGGCCAAAAATGCAAGTACTAATTCTAGAGCTATATACACTGATCTGTAGCTAGACTTTAGTAATTTGAGATAACTGTGCAGTCAGCCTTTTAAATGTCTGTCATGCCATTACTTTAAGTACCAACGTGATGTAGTTCTGTTTTCCCCTCATAACTCAGCATGGCATGTGGAACAACCTCACAGTCTCTATTACAGAGTTTTAAGTTAATACCACATTACACCATTTGTTCTTTCTCAGGTTCTGTTTGTTCATTTTAAGAACTGTTCCTTCCGGAGAAGACAGTTATGGACGAGGTTAGAGCTCTGGTCAACAATAAGGAAGCTAGTTAAATTTAGAAAGAGGCTGACATGACATCACTGCTTTTTTGCCCTTGTGGGCACTGGCCTCAAACTCACTCTGTATTTAAGGAGGGTTAGCTTTCTTTAAATTTAGATTAGCAAGCAAAGCTAATATCTATGTATATATATATATACATACAGTGTCATGTGGTGTATTAATCAATTCAATATTGCACATTCCTGTCTGCATTTCCATCACACCTGAGGAACTAATAAGGATGGTTTAAGACACAACTGTCACACACACGAAAAGAACAACACAGTCATGGTGTTATTCTTTGTGTTTACTTTGTATTTACTGTGGCTCCGCTGATCTTCATGATCTCTGCATGTAATGAATAGATGAAAACAAAACAAAGTGTTTGATGCTTATTTCTTTCTGTGTTAGTAGATAACCACCATAAAACAATAATCAGACCCATCGGTGATGGGTGATCAGAGGGCACTACCGACAGAGCAGGGACTTTTATGGCAGCTGCAAATATGACTGAGGAACTGAATATAGACCCTGTGGTCTCACACAGATAAAGATTCTGAGTTCTTAGAAAGGTTCCTCCTGTGGAAACAGAGTACTAGTCACTCATAGTTGGCAACAAGAGCAGGGTTATGAGAGTGACTGTAGTCTATAACCCTGTAGTAGTGGTTGGACATTTGTAGATTTATGACACAAAAAACGAGGGAGAGCTGCTGCTCAGCGACAGATTTAAAAAATGCTAAGAGAACTTGTGGCGTGTGAAATCACCACTCTTCTCCAAGCTGAAACCCAATGTATCACTTTCCAAAATCTTCAGCTCTAGCTCTATATTGACAGGACTACAGGTGCACTAAACTTATTTAATTTTATATTCAGAATTCTGTTATGGAAGAGGGCAGCAAACATTTCGTCATGGGGGACTGGAGCCTATTCCTATTCCACAGTGGGTGAGTTTGAACAAACTTATAACCAGAGTAGATGTACTTCCAAGAGATACTAACTTATAAACACGGATAACTAATTAACTGTGTCTTTACAGCCATTCCTACCTGGTAGGGGATTGTGGTGTTGGGGAGGTCCACACTAGCAATGAGCCAGCTGTCGGAGGCCTTGTCGGCAGTCCAGAGCCGGTAGTCAAAGTTATCGCTGTCTGGTCTGAGGTGGAGCTGCAGGGAACCTCCTCCGGTGATCTGGTACACCAGCCTCACACAGCTCCATTCCTGGTAGTCCAGAACTGGACTGACAAGAACCGCCTGCTCTTGTTCTTGTAAGAAGGCTGAGTCCACTGTTATCAAATGCCCTGTGACAACCAAATGAAGATATATCATATTCATGTACAGTATGAATAGAGCTGAAATGACAATACAATTAGTTGTCAGCTGTTAAATTAATCTCCAAATATTTTGATAATCGATTAATCGTTTTTGAGTAATTTTTTAAGAGAAAATGTCCACATTCTCTTATTATAGCTTCTTAAATGTGAATATTTTCTCGTTCCTTTACTCCTCTGTGACAGTAAACTGAATATCTTTGGGTTGTGGACAAAACAAGACATTTGAGGTCACCTTGGGTTTTGGGAAACACTGACAACATTTTTTCTGGATCAAACAGCTAATCACCTAAGTGAGAAAGATTAATCGTATCAGGTGGCTATTTTTTACACTGTCCATGACCATATTTTGTTCATATCTTGAGAATTCAGCTTTCATTTTTTAGTGATCGGGACTTGAATGTGTCTATTTACTGCAACAGCATTTGAGCTCCACAACAAATATGTGTGACAAGCTTGTCTTTGAATCCCCTGGCAGAGTCAGTTATGCACAACTATAAAACAAACACAAACTCATAATGAATGCACAAACTGAAGCTGAATTAACAATAATCTAGATGCTAACACAAGAAGAGTCTGACGATATGGATTCTTAAAGTTTCTCCTACAGTGTGCTGTTTTAATTGTCTGTGCTGAGTTTGACACTAGAAGG